TTTTTTTTTTTTTTGCTGCTCCCCTCCTTTTATGCCTTTTAAAGACAAAATGTAAAATTAACCTAAAGAGTTTAAGTCTCATGAGAAATGCCTGCTTATCAATATTGCAAAAAATTTACATAACATTTGAGAAAATTACAATAACTGTTTGGTTAAACGATGTTTTTTCTTTTTTTTTTTTTTTTTAAATGATAAATATACTTCAATAATTTAAGTTGGTTTAACAATGAAGACATCAAAACTAAAAGGCTTTTTTTTTTAGTCACAATCTACAACTGTAGACATATGTATATGAATGTAAAAAAAACTTTGCCTAAAATAAATTCATTTTTGAAACAATCAAGTCCCAGGAGAAATGAATAAGTTTGTAAACTTAACTGTTGATCTTAGCTTAATACTATGATTAAATAACTGTTTTGGGAACTGCTGATCAACAAAAACGATATGTTTATAGATCAGATAAAAAAACAAAATTTTCTAGAAAAAAAAAGAGAAGATCATTTATAAGATCTATTTGCTTGGTTTTTTTGATAAAAAAAAAAACAAATAAAAGATGTTACTAATCTTCTAATATTACCTGTAAATTTACACTTACTGTTATCAACAAACAAATCTGTTTCAAAAAAAATACCATAAGTAAAAAAGAATAAAATAAAGTGAAATAAATTAAAATGATATGAAATAATAATAGTAATTGTAATAGTAGTAGTAACAGAAATAGTAATAATAAGAATAATAATAACTAAGCTTACTAAAGTTAAGTATTTTTCCCATGAAACGTTGATACGCAGACAAATAGCAGAAAAAAATTTTTTTGTAGTCCGTTCGCCTATTGCCTTTAAATAATTTGAGCGAAACTGAGTTTATGCCGAATTTTCAGAATCGTTAACCACAGAACAGTCTAAGACAGCAGTCAATTAGCTGTTACTGTTCAGAATAAAAAGATGAAAAAAAGAAAGGAAAACTTTAAATATGATTGAAAAAAAATAAAAAATACAGTCAACCATTTATTTCAGTAGGCAAAATAACGTTTAGTTTTTGTAGCCAATTTTCGCTAAATAAAATAGACCAAAATTTCTTCTCCGTCATATGCATTCTTCGTTTTATCTTCAGACAGAAAAAAAAAAAAAAAAGAAAACCAATCTTACAAATCGATAAATTTTTCATCCTCTCCCATATAAAGTCGCTTAAAAACTTTGTTTTTTTTTCTTTTAATAGCCTAATAAGCAAAAACTATGTGTATTTATTTAGGAAAAAGAACTGTTTTTTATATGTTTTGAGAATATAAATTGGCTTTTTAACTATAAAAATTTCCAATAACAATTCTTTGTAACAGTTCCTTTTCCGTATTCTTCATTAATATTTATTTTACAAACAAACAGACAACAACGATCACAACAAAAGAATTTCATTAAGAAAACTTATGGAAGAACGGAGAAAAAGCAAACATATAAAAAACTGAATGTATTATTTAAAAAGAAGAAATTGACGATCAATGTTTGGTCAATGAAACGGTCAGTATCCGTTTATTATTCTGTTGTGTCAGTAAAGCGCAAAAATAGGAAAAGATGAATCAAAATTTTGAGCAGCAGTCATCCTGGTGGAAATGTCCTATAAGTTGTTCGCCAGGAAAACTTCATACTTCATAGTCGTCATTTTTGCAATCTGTTGTGGTTTATCAGAAAATCTCGGCAAAAAAATCACTATGCCTTTAACTTCCCCTCCACAGCACTTCGAGATGGTTTTTCAATAATCAAGAAAACTCCAGGAAGAAAAAATGCATCATATTTTGTGAAACTGAGACTTAGAGTTGTAAAATAAAAAGAAAAAAAAATTGATCCTTTTTTTTTATCCATCTGTTCATTACCAACAAGAAAAAAAGTGCAACCACTGAAGC